AAATATACGCGATTTAAATCCGGAAAAATAGTTTCATTTCCTAATGTTATGATTATAATTTGGTTTAACTTAATTCTTATTTGTAGACTAATTTGTTACTTTCCATAACTATCTAGAATAATTGATGACTAGATATGTCCCTATAAAATGTATGGTAAAAAGTTTTATGCGATTTCTGACATTTCGAGTACTCTTACCTCAGTTGGTCCCATTGAGACTTGATCCTAACCAGAGACTGGATCAAATGGCATAAAAAAAGTTTTGTATAAATTGCCTTTATCTTGCTGACTGTACCATTTTTTGAAAATCTGTGAATGCCAATCAAAATATCTTCAAAATTCATGGATAGTCTTCTAGAACCGTTTTCCTGTAACTACAACGATTAAGGTAGCTGGCCTTGCTGCCCCGTCGCAAATTTACACCTGTATACATAGTGACCAGCCTAGTGGTACGCAATTAATAGCAGTTGCAGTGCCACTCAGAGTCTTAAATCGCAAAGACCTGCAGGACACTGACCCTGAGGCGTAAGTTGACAAGTACCATGTGCCTGTGAATACACCAGCACTCTTATTCTTGACAACTGGAACACAGTAATGTTCACATTATTCCAGAAATAAATGAGATGGTAGTACTTCCCTTGACGAACTCTTTCACAGGGAGCTCTACTGTTACTAAAAATAGTGGTTATGAAAACATTATCTGGAGTCCAGATGGACGTACCAGACTCTGGACAAAAAGGCCATGCAATTGTTTATGTAACTTCTTAGTACCTCTAAATGTAGCATTATTATTATATAATTTGAAACATATTGAAATTACTTTTCTATTATCATACTGTATGGCAACTCATCACACATCACACCTCTGGTGAAACCGTGACTTAACTTGCAATTGCAAAAATTTACAGAAAATAAAAGTGTTATATTTTGTTTTAAGTCATTTTTATGTTTCATTGTAAACATAATATCCCATTTTACTGGGTAAAGGCACAGACATGTCTGTGGGCAAAGGTCTTATCTCTTCTTTCAGGACTTATTACAATAATGGATAATGGCAGGTCTACATTAGCACTTTTATGATTTTAGTACCTATTCTGTTCTAGTTACAGTAAAATTTCTCAGTGTCTTTGAGCGCCTTCATATATTTAGAAGCGCAGATGCAGCGCCACAGTCGCACTACGCGCGAGCCACTTTTGCAGACTAGATATTGTATGAAAGTTAGCGTCGCTGCTAAGCTTCTGCAAGTGTCTGATTTGAAGGCGCCCATATACTGTACAAAAGCTATGTTGCATTTGTGTTTGTAATTGTTTACAGAAAAAGTTCGTGAGCGAGCTCTCAATTTGATTGGACGATCATACAGCTCATTATCCATAGATACAGTAGTTTCCATGACTGGATTGAGTCGAGATGCAGTACTACACATGTGTCAGGACCGTAAATGGCAACTGCATGAAGATGGCGTTACTATTAACCCTGTACCACCCACTCAACCTGCACCGTTACATACGTCGAGTGAGGACCAGCTTTTCAAACTCACAGATTTTGTCACCTTTTTAGAAAATTAAGTAAGTTTATTATAATTTTTCTAAGATAAGTTTTAATTTGGGGCAGTTGTCTAATTTATTATGATCTTTGATTTGATGAATAAAAAATTATTTAACAGTTGATCTAATTTAGGTATTTTCACCAAATATTTGATGAATAAAGGCTTAAATAATTTTGAGCCATCAAATAAAATCATAGTGTGAACGGCTTACTTCTGTCATAGTTGTGTATTAAATGTATGCTCTTTAATAATAAATATTAATTTTTATTTTTGAAATATCCGTATTTGTATTATCCACACACCTCAGGTTAAAAAGGAAATGATAATTTTTTTATAATATTTTATTTATTACAAAATTTATTCTAATAATAATAATAGTATAAAACATACGTTACAAAGTGGCAGTGTAAATTCGTAAGTCTTAAAAGTAGTAGCTGAAAAACTAGATTTTTGTGACTGACATGACAATATTGCCATATCCTCTTAATCAACAATAGATAGAAAAAGGTTTGGAAATATCACGAGCAATACATTAATCGTTCCACAAAAAGGTTTCAGCATGAAAATCTATATTACAAAATGAGTATCTACATTCAATTAATCTAGCAACTTGTTTAAAGTTTTGGCAATCTAGTTGCCCGTGAAGATACTTTGCAGTACTTACGATATCTAACAAGATGGCATGTGCTCGAGCAGGCTCTTGTACTTTTTCAATAGTCTTTGCTTTACAAAGCCAAGAGCATTTAGTATATTACTAATGATTTTTGTAAGTGTACTTTTTCATCAGAGATTACGGTTTAAAGCTTTTATTTGATAGCCAAAGAGAGTCCTTGGTGAGCATTGTTATTTCTTTGTCGTTACTCATGTCGTTCAGTATCTTCCTTGAAACGAGACCTGGTTTGGTCTCGGCTGCAGTCTCATAGAATTTTCATCTTCATCGCCTAGCGACGTTTCATAGGCGCGGTTTACTTGTCCACCATTAGGCTCAGCAAATACGTCTTTGACTGAAATATTCGCGGTGGACGTCCGGTGACGCGGGGCGCCGTGATTGTTGTTAAGCTGAAAAATAAGTTTTATTATACTTTAGAAGTAGTTGATAGGCAGGATCATGTGTCCTGGCTTGTACACAATTTTCCATGAATGTCAGTATTTCTTTATCAACATATCAACCCATATACATCTTATTGTTAAATAAGTAAACATTAGACAACATCATATAGGTTGTTCTGATCCCATAGTACAACTCGAGCCTAATGCCCTCAGATTTTCATTACTTCAAAAAATCAATTCCAGCCAATTGCTTCAATTTCGCAACACGTTTTCGCAAATTAGATCTCCCAAATTAGCATTTGTATAGTTTCTTCTACGCATAATAGAGTTAAGTAACGAACATTCACCATTCCAGTGACACCATATTCATTATTTGCGCCAAGCGTCTGCATCTGCGACTTCCTTCGCTCCGCCATCACGGAATTTCTTCTAGTTTCTAAAGCTTTCAATGTTTCCCTACGCAGCGTCATCTTGCGGTTCAGGACAGGTGTACCTGTGAATTTCATTAAATTAATTTAACGATAGTGCTTTCTAATGAATACTTAATATGATGACAATATTTACATAAAAAAAGGTGATTATTATATACTGGTTCATGGTTCTCTATAGTTTGGTCTATTGTAGGTTTACTATATTACTTTTTTAATATGTGTATCAAATGAGACGTAGAGTTTACCTGGTCCATCATTCGCATTCATATTAAAGAATCGTTTCTTGAATGCCACGTCCAGAGTGCCTATGTTCCTCTTCTTCTGTTTGGCCTTCTCCAAGTTGTGAATAGTCTTTCTTCTGCCCACGTTATGAGGACCTGAGCCTGAGTCATTATCGTAATCATCGTCCAATCCGTTCAATTTTTGTAGGTCCTTCACGATTGCTATTGCGTTCTTATCTAGCAGTGCATCTTGCGACAGATCCTCAGACTGTAGGAAATATTAGTTGAATGTTACCATTCGTTAGGTACTAAAAAGTTTCAGATCACATTACATTAAATATGTAATTTATTACCTTCTTTGTGCAGAACCAATTCAGTTCCGTCGATGAGAGAATGTGCGACAGTGTTCCGAATCGATGGAACAACATAGCAGTGAATTGTATGACCAAAATGAGGGCGAAGAAAAACACAAACACCAATCCAATAGGTTCCAATTGCAAATATTCCTTTGAGATTATCACCTGAAAATTTTATTGGTTCGTTTTAAATATGTTTCAATTCTACAAAGATGATGATAAATTAGTACAGTTGACAATTTTATTAAAGTGAAGAAACACAAAATGACATGGAATATTAACTTGAATGATCTGAACTTTTGTTACAGACAGGTGCGATCAAACAAATTGTAAATTCACTGTGCACGAAATTATAACGGCTAATGAACATAAAATGTGTAAAATGTTATACAGAATAGTTCACATCCACGCCACTTGAGTTCACTTGAATACAACAACTAAAATCGTTTATAGAACGTAAAATTTTGTATTGTATTCGAAGTGAACCTCGAAGACAGAGTATTCATAATGTTAACAAACACCACGTCTTCCGAAATATTTACAAGGGAAACTTGTGAGTGAACCTGATACCATGTTTAATAGAAGAAATTCCGTCACCTTAATAAAGAGAGAGATATTAATAAACTCCTCTGTGTAGTTGGGTAGAGTGCTAACTTTGCTAGGATTGCATTCTAAATCATTAGAACGAAAAAACAATTCCTTATGATAGAAAGACCGCATCTTAGAAGTGTGGAAGTATAGGTTGGGAACGGTATAACACGTTGCGGATTGAAGTGGTTCTATTGTTGCAGTGATATTACCTACTAATCTAAAGGGTAGGAACTTTATAGGGCCATGGATATTTAGTAGACCGTATGTGTGAAACCGTTAAAGTGACGCCCAAGTGTCGTTCTCGGTGTCATCAGGACTCCATGCAATTGTGCCATACCAAGACAGATCGGTTAGAAGAAGGTCGTTAGACTGGTGAAGTGACACGTATTCTATGGCAACTTATCGCTGTACCTCGCCTGTATCCTCGTTGACTGTAATATTTGTCTTTATTCCCAAAGGCCAATCCACGTGGAGTTGATCTTTGTTCAGTTGCAATAGAAATACTATCAATATAAATAAAGCATTGAACATGAAAAACGCAAAAACTGACTTATTGCGAAGTTCTATCAGATCACGAGCTATTCGAGCCTGTAAAAGTTAAATAAAAACAAACATATTTAGTAAAAATGCATCAACTTTCAAAGGTGACTGGGATTCAGACTAAGTTGGGTCGTTTTTTATAAAGTTGTACTGTTATGCTTGTCGTGGTCCCGAGTCATCGTTGAAGGTCGAGCGCTTGAAGATGGTTTTTAACTTTACCTCTTGCGTAGCCTCATCAAGTGTAATATTAGTTTTGACTCCGAGGGGCCACTTAAAGTGGAGGTTGTCCTTGTTCAGTTGTAGCAAGAACACAATGAGCACAAAGAGAGCATTGATCATAAAGAAGGAAAAGACAGACGAGTCTCTCAACTCTTTGAGATCCTTCGCAATACGTGTCTAAAATTGGGGGAAGAATAACATAAATAACAGAAAAATGCAAGAGATATTCAACCCTGAAAAAAATTTAATTAGTAGACACGGCAGAATATCAATCTACTTAGACTATCTACTAAGGATAATAGGATAATAAATTAAATTAAAGAAGACAAAAACAGCATTAATAAACAAAAAAAGTAATAGAAAGAACTTTCAACAAAAATTGAATACAGTACGTGATAAATAAGTCTTTAAGGGCTTCTTTGATATTTTCAATACCTGTTCCTCTTTGTTTGCGTCAATAGGATACAAATACTTATCCAGCAGATCTTTCCAGAATTGGATTTCAGTTTGACTCAAAAAGTCTACTTCTCCTTTCTTTAAATCGGGGTCTTCGATCCAGTACGGATTAATCAGGTCGTCTCTTCGTTCCTGCAATCATTTCCAAAACAATGTTACAATTTTTTCTTGACTTCATTGCGGCATATAAAAGATTTTTAACCTTGCTTACCCTTGGTGACGTTGAAAGTGTGTCGGTTTCCGAGTCAGAACTATTATCTCCCTCTGGACCCTCAGCCAAAGCATCGAGATGGTCTCCATTTGTGCTTCCACGTAGTCCTACGGATAATTTGCGACCTCTGCTAACGCCGTGAGGGTCAATAGTCCTACAATAATGTTCAGTGAAATTTTAATGTATGACTAGGTAGCGTTAAACAAATTAATGGCCTGTATTCACACAAATTACTTTATTGTGTCAGTATAATGTTTACAAGGTATCTATATATCCTTTTACAAGGTATCTCAGTCAAGCTAATTGTAAAACGTGTGCTACCAGTCAAAATAATGTGCGTGGTATACATACGTATACCGATACATCCGACCTGTTCTTGTCGATCTGTTTTGTTTTACAACATCGTGTTACAAATTGATACAATTAATAACCTACCTTTCTACGTTTTCAATTTTCTTTTCCAATTTCTCAAGCGTATTAGCGATGTGTAAAAGCTGTACTTTTTCCTCGCCTCCTTTTTCGTGTGTGCATAGCATGCATTTGAACAGTCCAGCAAATGAAAACTCTATTGATCCTTCTTCTTCGTTCTTGTTCACACCTTGCAGAAATCCTAATAGAGATTTTTGTTTTGCTTTTTTCTTAGCCTCCTCTGCTTCTTTCTTTTCTTCTTCTATTTCCTGTAAATCGTTACCACAGATTCATGAGTTTTAATTCTCAACATAAATGGTTAAATAAAATTATTATATAAATGTAACTGACCTTCTTAGTTTTCTTCGTTTGTACCTCACGAGTACCCCATGATACGACGTTCAAGTTTATGATGGAATAAAGAATTAGAAGCAAGTACATAGATGGAATTGAGAGTAGATAAATTATACCGGGTACTACACAGAAAAATTCTTGTGGATGTAAACAAGCTGCTATAAAGAATGAACTCGAAAGTGCTATCAAAAATATGGCTGATGGAGAACCTATCCCGTCCTCTCCTAATTGAAGCGCAGTACCGACTATTACAGCCATCATTATCATTGCATATGCTGTTGATAATATCTGTGCCACTAGCAACTGTAACATAAATGAGTTAGTTCCCTTAAAATATCTGATGAAAAATAAATAGATTGTACTAATTTATAAAGTATTTATAAAGTATTGATTAGGATAGTTACCTGAATATCAGCCTTCATTGTAAAGCAAACAAACATGAATAGTAAAATCGGGTACAAATTGTATTCGAAGGAAGTCCAGTTATCGATTCTGAAAGCAGCCACGAAGGCACCCACCAACATAAGGAATATAGTGCCGGGACCAAGGATTGTACCACCCATCAACATCATCTGTAGAAAATAAGCACAATATTATAAATTTAAGATGTTAATAATAAAAATTTTGCAGCTGCAAGTAATGTAATGTAAATTTTCACCTGATATGCTATGTAAGGAGTCGATATGTTATCGTTAATTTTGATCGTGTGCTTGTAGTCCACTAGCAAGTCCATAATGTTGGCGATTGTGGATGGCACCCATCGTCGACGCTGATTGTAAAACTCGCTGAAACCTTCGGGACAGTGTGTGTACGCGTCTGATGCAGCCGAGTATTCTACACGATAGCCACGTTGCAATAAAAGTGTGCATAACCAACGATCCTCCCCTGTAAAGCAGAAAATACATGAGTGTTGCCTAAACCCAACACTACGGCAAATGACTAGTAAATATGACCGTTCTTAATAACATCCATCAAGAGTAACCTTTAAGAGGCTTGAATCACTTCTCTATGTCTTATAATGAACATTTGCTAATAATTCCAAATATGCCTTTTGGAATTATTAGCAAATATTATTAGTTTTCTCCAGAAACAAAGCTACTATAAAAATTTAATAATTGGTACCTTGATCGTACTGTACGTAATGCCGGGCCTCATCAGATCGGAGAGTGTATTTCTTCATTACGTTGTCGTCCATCAAAGCCTTTCCTCTGAACAAAGAGAAGCATCCTGGACTACAGAGTACGCATCCGATCATGTGTTCAGTTGCCTTTTGCAGCCAATGACCAATAGCGTATTCGAACAACTGATACCATACCATAGGACCTGAAACATGATGATTAGTATTCATTAATACTGAGGTATTTATTATTGTAACGTCCTTAAAATTTAGAATCTGCCACTTATCACACCTGAACCAACAGGATGGATACGCCCGCAAGCTGCTCCCAGGTTTTTGTTCTTCTTCATCAAGTCAATCAAAAGCCGGACAGCAGGTGGTTGGAAATCAATATCTCCATCGAGTGTTAGCAAGTATGTGTTTTCCGCCATCACTTCTTTACGGTCCACAGATATAGGCAGTTCCATCAAACGGTGTCCCAAAAGATAATACATGTACATAACCTGCATAAAAAACACATTTTAACTCAAATACGATAAGCAATTTGGCTTTATTTAATACTTTTATATCTCTCAAAAGTAAATATAATATCTTCTCCATTCTATTTTTAATTATTGTTTTTGAGGTATAAATTTCAAAGATTAGCCCTTGCAAAATCTATATTGCTACGTCTACCTGAGACCAACGTTTTCTGTGTCGAATCTTTGCCTTATCTTTCAAGTGGCATATCATTTTAGTTTTTCCGGGCAAGATCCAAGTCAACCTTCCTCCATACGGTGCGGGCAATTTTTTCGGTGGCCTGATACGAATATTGGTCTGATGTACTTCGGAGGCAGCTTCATCGATGGTATCTACAAGAAGCTTTACGAATCGATTCACTTGGGAATCGTCGTCGCTGTGATCAGAAATTTCGAAAGCATCGTCCAAAAATATTTGAGCTGAAAAATATTAACATATTTCTTAAATTTTCATGTCCTTATTGAGATAAAAACCTGATTATTTATAGTAAACACCTACTCTCGAATTCATAGTAGTCTGGGTCAACGACTCTCAAGTATTTCTGCGCAACTCGACGAGCGCACTGATCCTCATCCATTCGTAAAATTGACTTCAAGAACTCTATCATTTCATCTTTAGTTTCGTGCCACATAGTAGCGCAAGCGTAGATTCTCGTAATTTGGTCCGAAGATTTGATAGTTTTAGGAACGGAACTAGTGTTGTCTGTGTGTACTGATATCGTTTCGTAATATTCGTCGCCTTTCTCTTTTTCTATTTCCGCAAGGTCCTGTAAGAAAAAAAACGTATTATCATTTATAACACTAGTATGAACAAACTTACTTAGCAGTATTTTTGTATATAATGAGACTGTACCTCAGTTTTAACATCTTTTTGGTCGTCTCTTTTTCTATTTAGAGCCATACTTTGATCAATGAGCAGTCCATTATACATTGGCACCACAAACAGCTTTTCTGTTGAAGCCAGACGTTCCGCCTTCGGTGTCCAAATATGAATCGTGATCCATGTTTGAGAAAGCAACCACAGCAACCACACCCATGCCATTTGCCTAGTGATAAAATCTTTTAGCGTGAACACTGCAAATTAAAATAATCGTTAGATAATGCCTACAATACGTAAACCATAATTGTAAAGATAACGTATGATCTGTTGTGTTCTCACCAGATGGACTTTCAAAGAAGAGGTAGTCAGGTACAGTTCCATGGAAGAAACAATTGTCACCGTTTCTAATTCCACAAGCAGCGATTAACAAATTGACGACTAAAGGTATAACCAGGTTGACAGGGAAAGCGTAACTGAAGCCTTGTATGAGAATCTTGCAAGCAAATTTCCCGAAGACATAACAAAAATATGCCGCAAATATTTGTATGAGCATGACGTAGAAGGCAGATTTGTATGCCGCTGCCACTTCTACGGAATCTCCTGTTAAAGTAACATTCGCTAGGTCCGGAACGACCGTGCCACCGAGCGTGACTTGAACCTGGAAAAAATAAGTATATCAAGATATTAAAAACCGTCATATTTGTCAGATAAAAATACAGTCTGTGGGTAAACATTTTTTTTCTTACTTCTTCGACCACAATATTATGCGGTCCAAAACCAGCACTGAATAACTGGAAAAACATAGCGGGGTCGTCGCCGTCCATCCATACGCTGCACACAATGCACACGAGAAACAGCAGTATTTTCCATACCGATATGAAGCGATATATGTAGTAGCGGGATACATTTAAATCATCCTTTAGCCTACCCAGGGTCTTTATGATACCTGGAAATATTGAGAACAAAGTGTTACATTATTATTCCGTAATAAAATAATATGAAATAATTTCGTCCGTGGATTTGCTCTCACCGATAGGACTTTGTCTTGTAACGTAGTTCTCCCACCAACCAAGCGATATACAAAAAGTTGAGATTGGGATCAGCCATAACACGGGCTTGTTTTCTAAAAGCGGCCACACGATGATTCCAGTCACTTGGGCAACTATCGCAGCCATGTCCACAATCACTTTTACAAAGCGTTTTGAATCTCGTGAGTTGCGAGATAAAAGAGTCAGAATGGCAGGTATTATACACAAGCAATTTGTGATCATTGCGCCCTTTACTACATCCAATTCCGGGAGCACTTTGAAGAACAATAATGCCACCCCTATCGTGTGCAGAGATTCAGCTATAAACACCTGTAAGAAATGAATAAAACGGCTAAATTTTTTAGTTGATAAGTAATTTCACTTACCTACCTATTTCTGCCGGCAAGCTGTAATGTGAGCATTACTGCGTTCCGGTTTTGAAGGATAGGGGTACTGGTGAAAATACAGGCACATGGGACTTGTCAACTTATGTCTCTTGTTGATGTGGCAGTGGCAGTTTGGCAGTGCCCCTCAGACTGTTATGGGCAGACGTGTAACTTACTATCAGGCGCACGTCTTGTTCGTCGACCAGTCACTTGATAGTATAAACAAAATCATCAACCCATTTATACGTCACACTGCTGGGCACAGGTCTCCTTTCAGGCGAGGGTTTTGTCATAGTCCTACACGCTGGCCCAATGCGGGTTGGGGACTTCACACGTTTTCCGAAAGTTGTGAACCTTCGTCGAGGTGCAAGTTTCATCGCTTTCATTACGATGTTTTCCTTCATCGAATAGTTCATCGTAAATTTTTAATTATATTTTGCATATAAATTCCGAAAAACTCAGGTACGAGCCCAGATTCGAAACCACGGCTTCTGCTTGAGAGGCGGTAAGTTCAACATTAGGGTACCACGGCTTTTTTAAGTGAAACGTTAGTGCGAAATAAAAAGTCTAACAATAGAGAACCAAAAGGATAATTTCGCGCTTGGCTGAATTGTGTAACTAGAAGCGATATCTTTAACTCACCGCAATGAACTGGGCGCTCCTTGGCTGTTTAGATGACTTGAAGAAGCATATTCTGACGGATCGGATGAGGGTGCCAATTTCGGGAATTGCGAACGCTGCCAATAAAGCCCACATCCACGCTACACGTTCCTCGTCCGGTAAACTCACCACGAATTGTTTGTCTCTACCTGAAATGTTTAAAACGATTCGTCATTTATTTTGAATTATATGTGTACTTTGTAACACACTCTTATTAATATGGAAAAATGATAGAGGCATGTGAGAGGAATGCATTACGAATAATTTATCTACATGTAGTATTGTATATTCTAATTGAACTTACCTAAATCCCTATTACAATAAGCAAGCCTCCTATCTTTCTTGAGTTGCGAGGTCATGAAGAGCACAGTGCCCTTGGCGAGGACGCCAGACCCCAACACCACAACGAAGGTGATAAGATACGCCAGCACCTTGAGGAGTCGCACTGTGAATTCCAGGCATTTCTGGCTTTCCATGGATCCACTGTCCTGCTTGCGCGGGAACTCCCGGAACACGTCCCATCCTTTTGTTTCTTGTACTGTTCTTTGGCTGGAAACAAGAATGACAACCATAAAATTTTTATTATGGATAGAGATTTCCAGGGGACTATGAGTTCCCCTGTAAGGTCAGGGTAAGACAGGCGTCCGGCCAGAGCCCAGCCCCAGTGATACGCCTTCAAGGACGTCTCTGGTGAACGCGGACTTTGGGTATGGGCTCGCCGGGCTAAGTGGCCGGTGTCAGAATAATAGGGAGGATGCTGTATGTGCACCCGGAGTCGCTCACCCAAGGTACTAGTATTTTGAGCACAGGATGAAATCTCTGTTCACATGGTGATTTGGAGTGAGGACCCGACTAAATAAGGTCCCTGTGTGGACTTGCTTGCAGAGGTAATTATGCCCTTTCCGTATAACCAAGAGGTTGATAGAGAGGGACACTATGAAAAAAACTAAGTGGAAAGATTGGCTTGTACGTTTTTCGCTATTGTTATCACGGAAACTCAAAAAACCGAAAAAAAGTTAGTTTTTTCGGTTTTAAACCGGAAATAATTTACTTCCGCAAATGCCGATATAATTGAAGTGTGCGATATATATGAATAATTCTACATAAACCAATGCCGTCTTGGTACAACGGCAAGAAAAACAACTTTCACACACGACAGAGAAATCTCGTGCAGAAGTCTTGCAATATTGTCGCTGTGTTATTATGTGTTACTTCCTTCCAATACTGCGCTTCCGATAACATTTTCGTCAGCTGTGTATAATCTTTATGATTATTTTATCTATTACATTCCATGTGAATTGCCTATACGTACAGTAATTTTTTATTAACATACTAGTTAGAAAAAGCGAACAAGATTGCGGAACCACATTCCTTAAGAAATATTCATACATGTAGAATAAGATTACATTCATGTATGTTTCATACGACATACAATTTTCCATGTTCCGTGAAGAACTCAGGGTAAGCTGTGAGCGGAAATCTAGTGTAAATTTATTACAATGCATAATGGTTTCAACACGGCCTGTAGCCCGCCCGCGTATTTGCCGCGCTTGGTTGTGACAGTGGAGTTTACGTAAGAACGCGCCGCACTGTGGTAACCCAATTAGACATTGCGACCGAAGCTGCTCACGCCGCGAAGCCCACGCCGACCGTTTGACCGAGGGTAATGGCAGTTGCGTATGAATGCTAGTTAAATAGCAATTTTCTTACAACAAATTTTTGGTTGTTTACAAACAAAGCTTTTTACTTTACAGTTTTTGTATTCATTACAGCTGTCAGCTCTTTCACCTGACACATCATATGTTAACAAAGTACCTACGACTCAAAATAAATTTAACTCTTATTAAGTGTAAATATAAATTTGTACATTTCGTGTGTTTAAAGGTGTGAGTTAACCACATAACTGACGTTTTAAACAAAAAGTCTATCATTTATAATAATAATAATAACTACACACACACTCAACATAGCCCCGCAACCATGTATCGCAGGTGCCATGGACACACATATAGACAACCACAAATTACACCCAAACTCATGCATGGTAACCGTTCGGCCACTGAAGCAGTTTATATAGCTGTGGCAAGACAATCACTGTCTTTCTGCACGTGAAACTCAATAACAAAAAAACTATAATTTTGATAAGAGTTTTATCTGCAGAAAGATGGTGAATTTCTTGCAACTGGTACATAATTTGTAGATTTTTGTGGAAAATGTCACTTATGTGGTTTTACCTTTAAGCAGACGATTTTTCTTTTTACGCGGGTAGCCTGTGGAACCGATAAACACAAAAGTCGTAAATTGCTCTCAGCACGCAATACAGCAGCGCTTTCAGGATGCTGTTGTGGTTGCCGAAGTTCTGTAACACGTCTGGGATGTTTGCGGGACCTTTCCGCCTTACTACGGAAAATCGATTCTCTTTTAAATAGACTACATCGCAGTAGCAACAGCAACTTGAAAATGATTGCTGTGAAAATGGAAAGACCTCTCTAAAGCACCTGATAGATTTTACTCGATCTAAGTTTGAAATGAAGTGCTAACATAGTTTATAAGTCGTAAGTTACTAATTTAAATATGGATTAACGTTGTCCAAATAAATATATTATTAATTGTGTTACGTATGTTCTTGTTTAGTATAGGTACTTTGAAAAGTAACGTCCGTACAGAAAAGTTTAGAAAGTTTGTGATTAATATGCGCACACGCGTGTCAATACATAACGGCGTAATTTCATAGCTCAAGAAAAATTCATATTTATTTTGTACATTTCTGTTATACCGTATACTAAAATTAGTCACATTTAACACAGAACTTAAAAACTTCGTCTTTTTAAGATTAAACATATTTACTAGAGCACGTCTACATCGCAATAAATTAAGTACTTTAAACTTATTCTGTATTTTAATTAAGTCATTTTAAATTTATTTAAATTATTACACAAAATGGTTATAAAATAAAAAAACAGACTGTGCAAGATATATTATACACGGTGCTAAATATAATAACACGTACATCTAAAAGATAATACGTAATTATATTAAACAATCCAACAACATACCTGTAAATACTACAGTAATGTAAAGTGCCATTACTATAAAGGGAATTATTATTATTAGGCCCGTAAACGTCGTCCTCCCTTTCATAACAACTTTTACGATCCTGGTCACTCATTGTTACAAATTACTTAAAATATACTATATTTAAACGTTAACACTGTACATTTTGGAAAAAAAAAACCGTAAAATATCACTTAAACATGTAAGGAAAGTATGGAGAAGTTTTGAAAGGATTAAAGATTGCTAACGTGTCCTGTCGATGCGAATACAATTTAATAAATCATTGTTAGAAGTACAGCAAGCGGTGCGATCGCAACAACGACTGGTGGTACCACGCCACTACTGACCACCAGCTACGTGAAACGATGATACGCCATTGTCACACATGATGGACAAAATATGAATACTAAATATCGGTTCCGAAACTTCGCAAAAACACTTCCTTTCTTACGAAATGAAGTCAATACCATTATAGATATGTTGGGTAACAAATAGGAATAACAATTGAAAAGCTATATAATATGACATATTGTATTTCGCTTGATAATTACACTTACTAATGTAACTAATAAATCACTTCTAGATATTTTTGTTCAAATGCTACTCGAGTTAAGGCTCCTGTTCCACAGGTTTCTACCAGCTGTACCCACAACTATATAAGTGATTTTTTATTTCCACTCTTCCCTACCACACCCTCACTGGTGGAGATGAGTGGAATTTCATTTCCACTCGAGAACTTTGCATTCGAGAATATAATAATAATAATAAATCTTTATTATGGACAACAATGCGCCTTGAAATCTTTGTAACAATAAAATATAATTAGGTTTTTTCCTACGGATTTAGACCTAAATTCTACTGCGGATTTTGTGCTTATTATTAAATGCCGCATCATGGGGCACTCACTGCTAGCCGCAATAATCTTCAGGAGGTTGCTGCTGGCACGTATCGTAATATGCGAAAATATCGAATCTTTTAAATTTGGATAATTTTCAGGCTAGTTTTCTCTACCTAATTTTGGTGAAAATTTTTATTATTTAAATTTTCAAGAATATTATCTTATATGTACTACAATCGAATATAAAATTCCTTGACGAAGTTCTAAAATGTTTAAATAATAAAAATTGCCACCGAGAGTAGGTAGAGAAAAGTAACCTGAAAGTTACCCATTTGCTAAAATATTTTGTGCAGTGCTATCAAAGTCTAGCCCACTATGCAGTGAGTACCTCGTTCTGCAGCAGTGGGCATGTGTAATTACTTGGCCCGTTAATTGCAACTGCTCGTACTCATGGCACCGCTATGAAGAAAGTTATGCCTGTTCTTGCACGTGTCGTTTGCCATTCATAAGATGTTAAAATCGTTGTCAGATACTACTTATTACCATTGTAGTTAAAGTGAGGAATAGAAAATCACCGTAATCAAATCATGAGATGGAGGTCAAATACGCATTTTTTCTTTTATAAAAAAAATCAGTAAGTGGCGATGGTGTCGCTACGTGCCTAGACGTGTATCTTAATGGGCCCCTTCGAAACTTATTATGTCACTAAGATCATTTCAAGGTTCGATTAGTTACATTATTTGATTTGGTGTCATCTGTAGTCTCGGTTTCTCAGAATTTATTATTAGCCGAGGTTGGAATCTAGATAATCTAAAATCGTGTATTTTAACACTGACGTGACCTTCCTTTACACATGAACCAGAATGTAGCGGCGTCTAAAGTGGTGCGTGCGGCGATGTATGTTGACGCTTGCACCGGCGCACTCGAAACAATAGATCGCTCAATGTCGTTTCAGCTCACGAAAACTTACGAAAGCCCTCGCCTGCCATCGAACCATTCCACGTGTTAAACCTGACACAATGTTCCAATGCAACACCATGTATCTATTAACTAGTGGGCGGTAAGCGTATCTAATTGTCGATTATCGAGTGTCCTAATTTTTTTAGTTCTTATGAAATTAGTCTCACGTCTGACATGCAAGTGCGCGTTAAGCAGGTAACGGTATTAGAGCAATGATACAGGTGAATGAGATGATCCTTTTCGGTAAATTTCCATAAAGAGAATATCACACCTTTAAACCGTTGTGTTTACTTAAGACGCCATAAAAGGAGTCCATAGCATGTAAGCACACTGCTAAATTCAAGTTCAAAACATTCTCCCCGACCAGCGAGACAGGAAAACTTGAATCGTTATTTATAAATTATATTTATTTATGTATGTGAGTTGGAAACAAGTACCACCTCCAGTTTCGAACCTTTAGGCCAGGCTGACAGGTCAACGACATGCCTTTAGCGGAGTGTGCGTGCTTTTATGTTTCCCATATAGGTCATACTTGAACATTTTAGGCTTTACTCTACAGTTAGGTTGTCATACAAATCACAAAGTAAATTCTTCGATTCGCTTAACAAATACAGTTCTTGTCTAGTTTTCAGTACGAAAATATATAAAGGCTATATTGGTAATAAGTACAAACTGTTGTGTCAACTATTTATTAAGCTCCGTTGTAATCCAATATTCAAAGCACGCCCGACCCCGCTTGGTGCGTCTCATTCCATACGAAATGACGATACCACAGACGAAAGTTTCTTTTCTTTCAAACCCGCAGTAAAAAGATTTTTGTGTATGTATGGTGAATTCAAAAGTTATAAATCTGTAGTGAACTTTAGAAAAGAAGACCTCCGTGGTCGAGTGGCTTGCACACCGGTTTTTGTGGTGTCGTCATCTCTGAAATCCAAGGTTCGATCCCCAGCCGGGTCAGTGTAGAAAACTAACTTTTCTATATTGTCTCGTGTTCGGGTCGTCGTTGTTTCCGATTTCTATAACACAATTAGCTACTTACCTTGGGATTAGAGCAACGTTTGTGATGTGTCTAATATTTATTTATTTAAAATACAAGTATATTCGTTGAAATATAAAGTTGATAGTGAAAAGGTGAATCAGAATAGATATGAGATTGATATATTGCATCTAAGTGCGCTTTAGCGAAAGGTAACCTCGAGATAACATTGTTTTAATAGAGTGAATAGCCCTGTTGCTATTCGTATCTTGGCTGCGTCTGAGCCTCAGAGGCCATGCAGCGAAGTGGGGCGCAAAAATGTGGCGCAGTCGATCGATCGAAAGTTGTGTCGTCAGAGTTGTCAACCTTGGCATTTGAGCGGGTTCCGGCACTAACATTGGTCACCGAGACCAAACGTGAACAGAATCTGAGCAAGCCAAATAGATTTGCTTCTTTTAATGCCAGCCTTCTGCAGTCCTTGACTTCCGTTATATTTGTACCTTAAATCTGAATCATAGATCAACATTCTTTTCTTATTTCCATTTTCCTGAGTCGTCAGCACAACATAAAACTTTTCTCATAAGTTTATTTCTTATGTTCAAGAAACGAGAATGTTTATCTAATCGAGATTGTAACCAATGTCATTAGCGGAATGGCTCTCTATATTGAGAATTTGATTTATCATTTCGTTTAATTTAAAAAGACCTGATTGGGAAACGCGTGAGTGAGAGTCGGCGGCGTCGGTGCAGAAGCGGAACCGACGCGACTCATCTCTTGCGCGTGCGCAACGGTTGCTCAATCTGCTGAGAACGTACTCGTAATATCAGGGATGGAAGTGCGGCAACGACATTGTTATGCACTCACTAACACATCCAGTTCATAGTAATTGTACTGTTATAGACAATTCATTTACATTCTTTGTTGTAATATGTAATATAAAATATAGGTAATCGGTCATTACGTCATAGTTAATATAATACAAACTGTCCTCGTTATTCTTATATGTACATTGAGATTTATACTAATTTGTTCTTCAACCTGTGCCATATAAATGTGAAGGCAAATTTAGTTATCATTTTGGACGAGGTACCAATATATTGATAAATAGATAACCTTCACCAAAGGTTTGTTACCTTAACGCTTGCTTGAGCGCGGAAGAATGGTTCTACATTGTTTAATTTTTAGTTCTACAGATACATTGTCAAGGAATATAGTTTAACGTTATTAATAGGTAAAAGGTTAACTCTATTTAAACGTACTTGTTTTTGTAATGTCAAGTGACGGACCGAACAAGTCGTGCGCCTGATAGTAAGCTATACGCCTGTCCATAACAGTTGCAGTGGCACTCAGAGCTTTAAATCGCAAAGATCTGAGAGGCACTGCCCCTGCGCCCGTCACCTTGAGACTTAAGTTGACAAGTCCCATGTGCCTGTAATTTCACCAGCGTGTATGGATCTAATTGCCTAATCCATAGGTATTATTTATATACGGATCTTGTCCTCTGATTCCATCGATATGAACCACGGACGCCCAGTAGGCCCAAACTGGTAATTAGTAATCATACGAACAATTTGTGGAATAGCGGGCTAATTTCTTTTTAAACGATAAAATATGACATTCCCGACACCTTTTATTCTTGTGTAATTTCTAAGAATTTTAATCGATTTAGAGAAAAAATTGTTTTTTTTTTGTTTTAAAGTTTAGTAGTAGTGGTGTTTTAAAAGTACATAAAAAAATTTGGAAATTTGCCGCGTCCTTGAATGATTTGAACTATAGTGTGACCAATCTAAACACAACACTTTTCTACATTCTGACGGCCTCCGTGGTCGATTGGTTCGCACACCGGTTTTCATGGTGTTGCCATCTCTGAGGTCCCGGGTTCGATCCCCAGCCGGATCAGTGTGGAAAACTAACTTTTCTATGTTGTTTCGGGACTGGGTGTTTGTGGTACCGTCGTTGTTTCTGATTTCCGTAACACAAGTGCTTTAGCAACTTACTTTGGGATCAGAGCAACGTATGTTATGTGTGTATATACACATACATATATATATACAGTATAGGTAATATTTATCATATTTAAAAAATCAGCTTGTTATTCAACAAATTGTTCCTATAAGCATGACTAATAAAATCAGTTTGGGCTTTCTGATTAATTATAATTTAACATTCTAAAAGTATTTAATCTTATTATGTGAACAAAATATTTAAAGTATGAAAATACATAACAAATGTTGATACGTGTCCATTTAAATCACTATTCGAGAATCTTGGAAACAGGATTAAAGTCAATGTCTTTCGTATTTGTTGAAGTGTAATGTAAAAAATCCGTTGACCCTGCCGTGGGGCAGTGACGTGTCAAGCCCGAATCTCACAGCATGATGTCATACATAACAGAATTATATCATACACAGTCCGTACATCTTCACGTAATCACTATCCGTTTGCAATTACTACGATACGTACAATACAGTTACTTTGTGAGAAATGGGCTTTATGCTTGGTGTCATCAAGTGAAGTGTAGCAAAAACGATACACATTGCTGTGAGAATGCTTTTCTATTCACAGAATAGCGACATTTCACTTTCAATTCTCGCTACGGAGTTTGTTAATGACGGTATTATACTATCTAGTTATTAGGATAAAGAACATAAGGCCGTAATTAAATAAGCAATACAACAAACTTGACTGTTCTAATTTCAAAAACGATAATGACAGGTGCAAAAAGCATTATACGTAGGCTATAATTGTAATTTTTATTATTAAAAAAAACCTGCCTCAAAAGTTCTTGGAATTACATCCATTTACCAAGTTGTATTGAAATCGGTTACCGGAAAGTGCGCGAAACCGGATTCTTCCGCTAGTTTAGTCTAGGGAAGTACTGCCACCTCAGCTATTTCTGCCGCCAAGTAGTAATGTGTGCATTGCTGCGTTCCGGTTTTGAAAGGTAAGGGTGCTGATGAAATTACGGGCGCATGGGACTTGTCAACTTCTGTCGCAGGGTGACGGCGCAGTGACATTGCCCCTCGGATCTTTGCTATTTAAAGCTCTGAGTGTCACTACAACTGTTATAGACAGGCGTGTCGCTTTCCACCAGGCGCACGACTTGTTCGTCCCGTCTCTTGGTGTCATAAAAAAAGTTTGCCACCCTTAGAGGAAGACTTTATTTTCTTAAAATTTATATAGGGCCAATACTGAGGTACCCACTTTGCAACAAAAAATAATCATCAAAATCGGTTCACAAATTCCTGAACCTTCTCCTTTTTTTGGAGTTTGTTAAAACGTTCTCCAGGCGACTGTGTATTTTCTTTGTATGTTACGCGATTATTCAGACATTTGTGAACCGATTTCTATGATTCCTTTTTCTTAGAAAGGAAGGTACCTCATTAGAGGTACCTTCAAATTTGGAGAAAGTATTTCCAATTACGAATCTGGTTTATTGGAAAACTTGACAAATAAAGTCATTCCAAAATCCACAAACTTTTGTGATCGGTTTTTTATTATAAAAAAGGTATAATTGTACACATAATTATAATTATACATTATAACTGCACATAAGATACAGAGAACCTATAAGATAAGAATCATCCGATAACATAGTGTAAAGCTAAAATTCGCGCTACCTATTGTGACTTAACTTGGTTTATGTAACATGTAATATGTTTGTTTAGTAATTTTTGCTAAAATATATTTATATGCTTTACGTAGAGAATTGGATAAATGTAGCCAGATATACCTATTTGCGGAATTTATTGCTCCCCTAACAAACAATAAAACGGCCTCATGAACTTTGTGAATTATAATTATTTTGTTTCGAGGTTTTTACAGGATTGTATCAAATCCAGCAAACAATTTGCAATCGCTGACATGACAATATATAAAATGTAATAAAAAACTGTCAAACATTTACGGCAAGTGTGACACTCTCCTTGGCGACTCTCGTCCAAAGAGACTGCCACAGCCAGCCGGTGATAATAGGCGGCGTCTAAAGCCGCCACACCTACATGACCAGACCGGAAATATTCTAAATATTGTTAATATGATATTTACCTCCCACCGTAGATTTCGTTAGCGAGGGGTGTAAGCTCGTCGTCGGAATTATCGCTGCCCTCATCTCGCCGCTTCCCTCCCGACGTCGCCATCTTTCATTAGTCTGTAACAAACATATGTAGGATAAACAGTTTTACGTCTTATTCTTATCTTAGCAATGACATGCATTATGCTTTTACGCAATGTGTGAGAGAGAAAGATTTTTAATAAGCTACCGTGTCATATTAAATCACTTCCTTTGATCAGTTTCAAAAAAGAAGTGCGCAAATGGCTCTTAGAAAAATCATTTTATTCGGTTGACGATTTTTTCAAATTGAAAGACTGATCCGTATCGATGCATATTTTAATCTTGATTTAGCTTATCTAATGTATTAATTTGAACCCAGAACTCGACTACGCCGACCGTGTCTCTTCTAAATTAAAAGACGCATAATGCGAATGAAACTTCATATTTGACATAGTCTTTTGATTTGGTCGAGTATTCCTTATATGGCAGTTACGGACGTAGACACCCTGATTAAAACCATCCAAAAATCCCCACCTAAACAAATTGTCTTTCCTCCGGCTAACAAGAGTCCGAAGCCTAATAGACTTCCAATTATAGGTTGGTTGTGGTGAGGCGTTACTTTCCACCGTGACAGTTGCTTCAGCTGTACCAAGCACAAGTCCGTTCTTGCATGGGTACTGCTGCCACCTTTGGGATGGGTCTGCTACATATCAACTGGCCACTTTGGATTCAATTGACAACCGTGCCAAGAGGCTTATAGGTGACTCGAAATAGTGGAGGCGAAGCTGCAGAGCCTTGAATACCGCCGTAAAGTTGCCTGCTTATCGGTATTTTACACAATATATCACGGAGAGTGTGCGACGATTCAAATCCACCTTCCCCTTCCATCACCGGGGGACTAGGCATAGGCTTGGGTTCCACCCCTATGTTGTGGATATTCCAAAGATTCGCACGAAGCGTTACGCTTCCACATTTATATGGCGAACGGCTATGGAGTGGAATTCCCTGCCTGCAGACTTGTTCCCTGGACTGGAGTGAATAACCATTATTTAGGTGTGTATGCTCCATCGTCGACCTTATCGTCACTTTCCATCAGGTGAGATGGAGGTCAAATGCCCACTTATATTTTATAAAAAAAAAGTACGTCATATAATTATTATATTATAACCTATTAATATCAAAAGATCCAAATCATAGCATCCAAATAGCACACAGAATCCAAAATCATACCATTTTCCTAATTAAGGAATTTAGACCGGTAGCACTAATTAATAATAATAATAATAATTTACTTCTTTTAAACGGTACAATACTTAACAGATATGATTACGTTAAATATTGGTCGCATAGAAGTTATTTAGACAGATTAACCAGATAACACAACAAACATTGGTAGCAGTAGAGCTCCTTGTGAAAGAATTCGTTCAGGGAAGTACTGCCACTATACCTATTTCTGCCGCCAAGTAGTAATGTGACCATTACCGCGTACCGGTTTTGAATGGAGTAACTACAGCACATGAATTGTCAACTTTATGGTGACAAACGCAGTGGCAGTGCCCCCCATATGTTTACGATGTAAACTCTGAGTGGCACTGCAACTGTTATGGAAAAGGCGTGTCGCTTACCACCAATCGCGCGACTCCTTCGTCCCGTCACTTTATATCATAAAAAAACCTCGGAAACTAAAGTAAAGAAAAAACATTCGAACGTAATTATAACCATAGATAAGATAGGTCTGAATTGCTCCATACCTGAAACGAAATAAAATAATACTGTGATATATTGACCTCGTTAACTATTTTAATAATTATTTATATTTTACGTTTAATAGGTACGAGCTATTTTACGACCGTGAGCTGAAAGCATAATATTATCTATGGGCAAAGCTATCCTACGCGCGATGCGCGGGCAGACAAAAGTTTCTGAGCGTTTGTTGGCAGTTATTTTAATCATAAAGTATGTAATTCACAGACTCGGAGTATAAATAGTTGTATAGTCATTTACTAAATTGCGTGTAGAGTGCCGATACATAACCTGCTTTTTTATTTTTTTAGTAAATATCATGATGTATTACTACCACGATTCATCTACTTTTGTGAAAATACTCCACTAGTTTGTTATGATTATTTATAAAAAGATCGTACAACCACAAAGAAAAATTCCTTCGAACTAGCGACTGTTGTTCGAGTCCGGTAGGATCGAAGGAATTTTGTTTGCGTCTGTTCAGTCTTTGTATTACTTATAATTCCATAAGCTACTGTATCATAGGAAAAAGTAAGAAAAACATGGCCAAAATGACGATTTATTTATATAGATTTATTTCATTATACGATGTAAACATAAGCACGATTCATACATAAATAATAATTTATTTATTTATTTTACAATACATATGGTTAAAATGCATTCACGCTTTTTTGCTATCAGAATAGACAGAAGCATCAGCCTTTGACGTGGTATGGTCCTGATACATGTCATTCGCATCTTCGACGTTCATATTGTAACTAAAAACGATAAACCATAAAAATAATTGAAAATATGTCTTGTAAATTATGCTGGTATCCGCGAATTGCTTTGGATCCTACTCCTTAAAAACGAACATGATTTTTATTTAGTATGTTGCTTCAAACAGTAGCACCTTTCGTAAACGTTAAACATACCTTAATATTTAGTCTAATAAATGCTCTTTCAGGAAATGAGTTACTATTGATCCGGAAATAAAAGGAAACATTGAAAATCTCGAATTTGTTTAAAAAAATTAAGCTCTCTTGAATATGAGTGTGTCATGTTGTGGCAATTAATCTATTACAATTGTATATTTATTGTTACAAACCTGTAGTTGAGACGTCCATTTTGTGGACTTAGTAAAAATAAACAAATTACAAAAATTATAAATTTTTTCCTCGAACATTGAACTAAGATAATTGTACTACACGCTCTAATAAAATGTATCGAATTTAAAATGGTACGGGTAAACAAACACGTTTCTTTAAATGCAGTTTGAATGCAGAACATCATTCTTTATTATTCAGCTAACTAATGGCATCTGTTCTAAATTCGAAATTAAATTTTTGTTAAATGTTGTATTAGTGTACATATTAGTGGCCAGGCTTCTACTCACTTTTTCCCATACCCTCTAAAGCAAGCATGGGAGTTTTTTACGTGCTACCCCATATCGGTATGCCATACGACAAAATGGATTTTCAATTAATTGACAACAAAATAAGCTTCCATTGACACGCCTACCTAATACACAGCCGTTTGTTAGTTGAACAAAAGCAAACTGGTGTTAATAGTGTCAAATCCTAGTTCTCACCAGTCAATTTTAAGTACTTACGTATTGAGTGAAATCACCGTAAACGCGACTTTCCACAGAGCGAGTGTTTATCGGCTCACGCTTTTACCTGCAGTGGACTTAGTCGTGACATTGCTAAACTTACGAAACATTTGCTAAGATAACTAGTCGAGTGGATTTTAAAGGTGGAAACTGAATTCAACGTTTCATTGTCACTTTTCATTGTCAGCAAAGCAATTTAATAAATACCGTGAAACGAAATCGGTTATTATGGTGTCGCCATCTCTGAGGTCCCGGGTTCGATCCCCGGCCAGGTCAATGTAGAAAAACGAACTTTTCTATATTGATCTAGGTGTCTGTGGTACCGTCGTTGTTTTCAATTTCCATAACACAAGTGCTTTAGTTACTTACTTTAGGAGCAGAGCAACGTTTGTGATGTTGTCTAATAGAATATTTAAAAAAATATCCTTGTTTCTATGACTGCATACTTTATAGTCATATCTACAAAGCTTTTTAATTTTACAAGTAGGTACACAATATTTGCTTGTTACGCTAAAGAATCATTTTGAAATTAATTAAATTAATTTTTAATTGTTATTTAGAAGCAGTGGAGCTCCTTGTGAAAGAGTTCGTCTTCCTGCCACCTTAACTATTTATGCCGCCAAGCAGTAAGGATTGTGACCATTAAAATTACTAGGTTCCGGTTTCGAAGGGTAAAGGTACTGGTGAAATTACAGGCACATGGAACTTGTCAACTTTTGTTTTAGGGTGATGGGCGCAGTAGCAGTGCCCCACAGGTCTTTGCGATTTAAAGCTCTGAATGGCACTGCAACTGTTATGGACAGGCATGTCGCTTGCCACCAGGCCCACGACTTGTCCGTCCCGTCACTAGGTATCATCATAAAGAAAAATTGGCAGGACATAATCATATCACCTTGATATGTTTGTCTATCACGTTACCAGGTTGTTATGCAATAAGTAAGAGCCTGATAGATATCGTGGACAACAAAGTACCTATACTTGGAACTGTCTGTTTGCGAGCAAGAGAGTATCTATAGCGTGAATCACTGACTGCTGAACCTCGTGCATTCCTCGGTCCTGCACTCGACCTTGCCGGTCATTCATCCCTTACTTGCGTTTATTTGTGAAGAAATTTGACGTGCACAGCGTTTCAATTACTTGTATAGAAATACTTCAATGTGGTAATTCAGAGGTATAATGTGGAAATACCTTTCAAATGTGTTTTATATGCTGTCTGAATAAATTTAAAAAGGCCTTGGTTTTGAATTTGTAAATTCAAATAATCAATTCATTACAAAAAACACATAATACAATATGTATTGTGCCAGACAACCGATTGCCTGGTGTAAAACTAGGGAATTCCCTGTACTATGAGTACCAGTGCAACGAAATTTACTCTAGGGCACTTTCCACAACACCCAGACCAAAAGTTAATTTCCCAAATTGGTCCTACGGGGAATCGAATCCGGGAACTCCTCATCCAGTGTCCACAGTGCAAATAGTTAGGTCACCAAGTTCGTCTATAATATATGGTCGTCAATATTTTATACATACATGTCGTGATCATACGTCCCGCTTTTAGACTTCGTGTCCCGTTATCCCAAAAATACTTAAAAGTGTCCTGCTTTTACAAAACAGAACACACGTCACAATAAATTAAAAAAATAACGCGAAAGCGAAATATATGTAAAACCCTTAGACTATTCCTTTATTTCGAGTTCTTAGGTTTTCGCATTGTTACACATAGGAAATGAAACTATTTTTCCGGATTTAAATCGCG